TCCCCGTCATAGGATTTTGTGCTTTTTCACAATAACAGGTGACACAGCCGTGGAAAAGACACCCGTTAAACTCAAAGGCTGTGCATACCCCATCAACATCGGCATAACTGTCTAAAAAGTAGGGGCATGCCTGTAGTTCCCCACCCTGTAAAGCGTGCCGTATTTGTGTATATCTCTCACAAAGAAAATATAACAGCCACTGAATAGATGGGGTCGAATATCTCTTTTTCTGCCTGTGATAGTTGTCTGGAGGGAGAAGAGCTACCGTGTTAGGCTCCAAAAACATAAACCTGTACATAGCCATGCAGACAGATGCCAGTGTTATGTACCGGAATGGATCTATACACAGTTTTATCTCAGTGAATTTACCAGGTTCTTTCTCTACTACATCTCCCTTCTCCATCATTTTTATAATCTCTTTTCTGTATAGGATACAGGCCTGTCTCAAAATTTTTACATCCTGCTGACAGTAATACGTGAGCTCTTTCTGCAAGTCAAATGCCTCAGAGCTGTGGTCCCGATACCAGTCGAGAAACTCTGCTTTTTCTCTGGGCATCATGCTTTCTACACCATAGTGCTCCATACCGGGCATAGGCCCCATGTAATTTTGATTTTCTAATGTGTTAAAAAAGTGTGGAAATTACCCTTTGCACCCTTCAAACCCCATCGCCTGCGGTAGCTTGCTAAGCTTCATGGGCAATAAGTTTATAGAGTCTATAAAACGAATGCCCAGGGCCTTAACTTCCACGCACATTAGTTTACTACCCTGAGTGATCAGTTTTAGGCCCATCTTTTCCTTCAGTAACTGTCTAACAATGAAGTACGCATCATAACCTTTAGAATTGTGTACTAGGAATGTGTAGTCCCGAAACTCTTTGCCAATAAAGGTCTTAACAAACAAAATTTTTTCTGGCTTTAGGGACATAGCAAAAATGTAATTGGGAGTGTGCAAATCGGTCTCCTGCGTGCATTCGAAATCATAAAAAATATACTTTTCTGAAGATTTGGGCTTTCTAAGGCTGTCCATAAAACAGAGGTGACCGTCTACATCACCAACGATCAAACCCTGACACTGCTTACACCGTCTCCCTTTACACCTATGCCGCTTGTCCACGTAAGACTGACACTTCTCACACAAAGTTTTAGACAGGCATTCAACTTGGTTTTTTGATGCACAGTCGATATGTCTGTCTAAACACTCTTTGGACAGACAATACAGTCTACAGCTAGGACACCGCTGCTGCACGCTCACGCTGTCTGAGCAAGTTATGCTCAAGCAGAGGCGGCAATGATACCTGCAAGAGTGGTCATGGCTGTACACCGTGTGGCAAAACTCACAATAATTTTTCTCTCCGAACAACTTTTTTACATCCAGAACCCCATAGTAATGCTCATCGTGCAACAGGATAAAATAAGTCTTGGGGTACACCGTGCCCCGTTTTAAAAAAGCCCCAGCCGCCTTTTGCCATATACAGCACCATCTGTATGTTAACTCCTAAATGCTGTTCAAACTTTGCTACGTCACTGAGCATAACCTTTTTTTGATCTGACCACCCCAGTTTCTCATGTAACTTTCTTGCCTCTGCTAACAATTTTGCCTCCGTAGGTTTACGATCGGACATGATGGCCAAGAGCCTACCTGCAAAACACAGATTGGTACCGGTGTAAGTCAGGTCTACTAAACACGGTCTCTTTTTATGAATAATTTGACTACTAAGGATAGAATTTAAAACTCTACGAGTGCCCCCACCCCTGTTTTTTTACAACTGTCACAACGAGGTGCAATGTCCCATCGACATGCAACTCTCTATTGCTCTGTAGCAGATTTGAGGTCTGATTTAAGAAATCCTCAGCAGACAGCTCATCCCTAGTTCTTTTGACCAAAAACAAAGAGTTAGTTAAATTACGGTTCTCTAAACATAACTGAACATAATCATCAGGGCCTACCCTACCATTAATGTCATCGAGCACTAACTGTATTCCCCGGTGTATGGCTTCAACAACCTGCTGAACTGAATTTATTTGCTCAAGACTGACAAAACGAAATTCCTCACAATACACCGACCCCCCAAATCTGGATAATTCACGTTGCCAACTTCTCACTCTCTCCATATACACCTCAGCATTTTCGGGGTTACGTGGGGATTCCTCTATGGGATCATTAGTGGCATCTTCTACATCAGATGCTATTTGAGAGTCAGACTCTGAGGCGCCTCCATGAGGGTCATTGGGAGTAGAACGGGACCCGTCTAGAGAGCCCTCCGGAGAATTTGCTAAACCAGAGTCTGATTCTGCCTCCCCATTTTCAGACAAGCCAGTTTGAGAGCCTCCAGTAGGGGGCATCTTTTTTTCCCCCCCTCATTACCTCTTTAGCCCTTTTTAAAATTTTTACAACAACCTGGGCCTGGAACTTTTTGGCAGCCATCTTTTTATCCCCCAAGCGCTGTCCCCCCTTTTGTTTACACATGAGCTGATGTGTACCCTGGATGGTGCCCCTTTTAGCCAGGCCCCTTTTCACGACTAGTCATGCCTGCTCAGAGCCACCCTTTCCAGCCCTCATGTCTTTCAGTATGGTTCTGAACAAAGCATCATATTTTTCCCATTTCTTTCTAGAATCCCGTTCTTTTAGACTCCCCGAGGATACAGCATCCATCACTTTTCTGAGGGAAGCATCAAACTCTTCCCAAATACTAGAGTATGGGGGAGCTGTGACGAGCTTTTGGTTTTGGGAGAATGGTTTGTTAGTTCTTGGTTTTTTATTCACAACCCCTAGAGCGCATGCTCCGGGTTTGTGAATGTGGGCATTTTCTCTTACAGTTTCCTCAGGGCTTGGTGTGGTGGTGGCCGATGAGGAACTAGAGTGCTGGTTGTGTGATTGCAATACCTCAGCATCGCAGAAGCTTTTAGTCCTTGGTTTTTTAAACGCAGCCCCTAGAGCGCATGCTCCGGGTTTGCTCACATTCAGAACCCATAGAGTGCATGCTCTGGGTTTGTGAACGTGGGTGTTTTCGCTCACAGTTTCCTCAGGGCTTGGTGTGGTGGTGGCCGCTGAGGAACTGGAGTTGTGGTGGCATGGTTGTTTTTTACCAGAGTCTTTTGTTTTGTCCTTGGGTTTGACGTATATGATGTTTGGACCGCGCGGATGCTTCAGCTGCACTCTTGTGCTGTTTTGCATTGTTAAAGGTCTCAAAGCAGATTCCTGGTTCTTTAGCAGTTCTGGAGGAGGTGTCCTTGTAGCTCTGACTGCAGCATTGTCAGAAAAGTTGCCCAGGCCTATGAGGGGGAAAAACAACAACATTTTACAAAACTGAACTTTACCATCTCTCTCACCCACACCCATGTATTTACTTAAAATACAAAACCTCATAGAACAATAAGCAAAACAATAAGCAAAATATATTTACAGGGCTTCATCTATCCATCAGTCACTGATGCTGGTGAATTTTCCTTTTCAGCTGTCTCTTTCCTTTTTCTTTTCAGCTTGTTTTCCCTCTGGTCTAAGGATCTCATGTTTTGACTGTACTGTGGAGCAAACAACAACATTATTATAAAACACATGAAACCGTCTTGTAAACTTATATATATATATATATATATATATATATATATATATATATATATATATTTCATTAGGGTGTTTTTCTATATATATATATATTTTTTTTCATTTCATTAGGGTGTTTTTCTATATATATATATATTTTTTTCATTTCATTAGGGTGTTTTTCTATTTAAAAAGTCATAGCTTTACAATAAAATAATCCATTTCGGGCTGTACAACAAACACAGGTTTTTAAATACATCTCATTTTGCAGAATAAAAACCAAAACTGCTTTTAAAATCAATTTTGCAAAGAAACCCTTGTTAGTTTGAAACACACATACCACCAGTTTAAAACCCACAGTTTGCAACCAAATACTTTTCAATAAACCCACATGCATTTAAAAGCCACATGGTTGTTCTGTCCCCCAGCCATGTGTGTTTGGGGCCTTTGGTTTAGTTAGTAGCATTCCCCCCTCCCCAAGTGTCTCAAACCCCATTTTAAAAACCCATCACATTATGCACAGTAAAAAACCCTGTTAGTTTGAAACAAACCAAGTACTTTTAAAAAAACCTATGCCTTGCACAGCCCCCCCCTCTCTCTCTCTCTCTCACACACACACACACACAAAACAGCAGCTTTATAAAACACACCAAACCAAGTTTGCAGCCATATACTTTTCAAAAACCGACATGTATTTAAAAGCCAGTTGCAAAAAAAAAAAAAAAGTTACCTTTCACTATGGGATAAAGTGTTGCAGGCACATGCTTGTTCTGTTCCCCCTCATGTGTGTTTGGGCCTTCAGGTTCAAAAACAAGCAAAAATGTTAGTTAGTATTACCAACAAATCCCTATACAGCCTGTGTAATAATTTTTTTTTAATTCAACAGTATTAAGCACAACTATAGTTAAAATGGTTTTTACCTTGGCCTCGTGGTGAAATGCAGTTTAAAGTTACTGGTTCCATGCTAAACAGATCACACTGCAATAAACATAGGCACCATTATTTACTAAGATAGCATGGGCAAAGCGTGGCATTATATAATATATAGTTTCAGAGTTAAAGACAGCAAGTCTTACCTCTTTTTGCAGTCCAGCAGCTATCCAAGAAAGTTTTCTGTTGAAAAGGACAAGCTCCAGCATACCTGAGGTTTTTATACCCTCTTAGCCCATTGTTTCAAACAGACTTCAACACAGTTGCTAACAGGTTAATTTAATCACCCCTCCCATAGCATTCCCTTTTGTGATCTGGGGTAGTGAAACCATGTTGTCTGCACAATAGGGCTTTTGCCCCCCCTTTAAGTTAAAATACATTTGTGGCTTTCTTACAATATTAAACAGCACCCATTTCCAAGTGGGGGGCCCTTTGCAGATATCAATGAATGTCTTGGGGCTTGGTTGTTTTTTAAACGTTTCTTTCATGCTTAAAGTTTGGGGGCTGGGGTTGTTTCATAGAAAGAATGACCCATAGCATTCAACCAACTCCTGGGCCATATTTAAACTGTCCAATAGCGTTCCACCAACTGCTGTACTTCCTCCTGGACAACCTCTCCTTCACTGAGATCTGCTACATCTCTTCCACCATGCCCAAGATGCTGTGGAATCTCCTTTCTGGAGACAAGGCCATTTCTTTCACTGGCTGCCTCTTACAGATGTATTTCTTTGTTGCCCTGGGGGGCACTGAGTGTGTCCTCCTCTCGGCCACTGTTTATGACTGTTATGCTGCCATCTGCCACCCACTGCGCTACATCATCCTCATGAGGAGATGCGTGTATGCCTGGCTTCTGGGGGCCTTGTGGTTCATTGGCCACCTGAATTCTGTCATCAATACTGCCATGGTCTTCTCCCAGAGCTTCTGTGGCACCGTCGAGATCCACCACTTCTTCTGTAACATCCCACCCCTGCTCCAGCTCTCCTGCTCCGATACTTCCCTGAGCCAGCTGGTGACCTTCTCTGTCTCAGGATGTGTCATCATCCTCCCCTTCTGCCTGACCCTGCTCTCCTACCTCCTCATCCTCTCCTCCATCCTGAAGGCAAGATCAAAGCTTTCTCTACCTACTCTTCCCACTTCACCATGATCAGCAACTTCTATGGCACCATCATCTTCACCTACATGCGCCCCTCAGCCAGCCACTCACCAGCAAGACCCGCTGGTCTCTGTGTTGTATGGCATTGTCACCCCCATGCTCAACCCTTTCATCTACAGCTTCAGGAACAAAGAGGTGCAAGGGGCTCTCTAGAGAGCCCTTGTCAGGAGCAGGGAGCAGAAGGGATGAAGCAGGAATGGGTCTGATTCCAACAAGGACAGAGCACAGGCCTGGCACTGCAGAAACTGGGGTTCAAGTCCTAGCTCCATCCCAAGCTGATTTTGATTAGTCAGTTTTTCAATTGACTTCAGTGGGGCTATACCAGTTTACACCAGCTGCGAATCTGGTCCATTGACCCTAATGAAGAGATGTCATCTTATTCCAGCTGTGGATATGGCTCATTGACTCCAATGAAGCAATACTTGATTTACACTAGCTGGGAATTTGGCCTTTTCTGTGACTCAGTTTCCCACCTACATAATATAATGTGAAAATCATTAATTTCTCCCACTCTGTATTTATATATCAAGCTCTTCAGATTGGTGTCTATCTCTTCATGTCTGAACAGTAAATAGCACAATAGAGCCATGGTTTAGGTTTGGTCCCTAAGTGCTAATGAAACACAAATAAAATGACTTTTTCCATTTAGCCTAAGTGAATTAGGCACCTGTGTTCAGTAGATAGTTGACTTCTAACTCCCCTCACTCCTTTGACACTCCTAGCCATAATAAAACATAATCATTCTCCATTTTCTTGCAAGTTTGTATCATCATTTACAATGCTCCAAAGGAATGTGTCCGGCTCCCAAACAAGAGTTTTCCATTCACTGTGGAATCCTGTGTTAAGAGATAACACTCAATTTTGCATCATAGACACCAGATTAGTTTTTCTTTCTGTAATTCCTGTTTTATCTTCAAATTCTCTTTCTATTAATAAACCTATGAATCTGCACTTATGCAAGTAAACCCAAAGAGGTCAGCCCATGGAAATTGATTCTTATATTTACAAAATACCCTTTCTTGTAATTGTATTTACATGTTGCCATTAAAAGTGCTGAGACTTTTCAGTTTGAAAAAGAGATGACTAAGGGGGGGATAGGATAGAAGTCTACAAAATCAAGACTGGTGTGGAGAAAGTAAAAGGGAAGTTATTTATGCCTTCTCATTACACAAGAACTAGGGGTCACCAAATGAAATTAATAGGTAGCAGGTTTAAAACAAACAAAAGGAAGTATTTCTTCACACAACACACAGTCAACCTGTGGAACTCTTTGCCAGAGGATGTTGTAAAGTCCAAGACTATAACTGGGTTAAAAAAAGAACTAGGTAAGTTCGTGGAGGATAGGTCCATCAATGGCTATTAGCTTTGCCAGAAGCTGGGAACGGGCAACAGGGGATGGATCACTTGCTGATTACCTGTTCTGTTCATTCCCATGGGGGCACCTGGCATTGGCCACTGTCGGAAGACAAGATACAGGCTAGATAGACCATTGGTCTGACCAGTATGGTCATTCTTATGTTCTTATGTTAAAACCCAAAAAGGAGTAATACAACTGAATCCAGGGTCTGTGTAAATAGACTTGGAGATTCGTAGATTCAGGGTAGAAGGGATCATTAGATCATCTAGTGTCACCTTCTTTATAACACAGGGCATTATATTCCACCCAGTTGCCACTGTATTGAGCCCAATAACTTGTGTTTGATTAAAGGCTATCTTCCAGAAAGGTCTGTAGTTTGGTTCTGAAGAAACCAAGAGATGGAGAATCCGCCACTTCCCTTGGCACTTTGTTCAAATGGTTAATCACCCTCACTATTAAAAAATTGTGCCTGATTTCTAATTCGAATTAATCACATTTTAACTTCCAGCCGTTAGTTCCTGGTCTGCCTTTTTCCATTAAATTAAAGAGTCCTTAGGTACCCAGTGAAGGTACTCATACACTGTGATCACATCACCTCTCAGTCTTCTTTTTAATTCAAAGAGAATGAGCACTTTCTCCAGTCCTCAGGTCAGTTTTAGGGTTCTCTTCTGCACTCCCTCTAGTTTCCTTTCATTAGTTTTGATTTTCATAGAATCCTAGAAATGCAGGGCTGCAAGGACTCGATAAATCATCAAATCCAGTCCCTGCTCTAAGACAAGACCAAGACCAAATCTAAACCATCCCTGACAGGTGTTTGTTCAACCTGTTCTTAAAAACCTCCAACAATGATGTGACAGGTTGGATCACAGAACCCCCCTGGGAGCTGCCAACTGATGTGCCAAGACTATTTCTGCTCCTGCTTTCCTGCCGCGGCAGCTTAGGGCTCCAGCACCCTGCCTGGTTTGAGCCAGACTCGCTAGCCTGCTGCAAACCCAGACCCAGGTCTGAATCACGTCCCCTAACAGCTGCAGGCTTACCTGAAAACAGCTTACAGAAGTGTTCTTGTCTTTAACACTCAGGCCTGGTCTACACTACGAGTTTAGGTCGACTTTAGCCGCGTTAAATCGAATTAAGCCTTGACACGTTCACACGACGAAGCCCTTTCTTTCGACTTAAAGGGCCCTTTAAACCGGTTTCTTTACACCACCTCCGATGAGGGGATTAGTGATAAAATCGGCCTTAGGGGGTCAGAATTGGGTTAGTGTGGACGGAATTCGACGTTATTGGCCTCCGGGAGCTATCCCACAGTGCTTCATTGTGACCGCTCTGGACAGCACTCTCAACTCAGATGCACTGGCCAGGTAGACAGGAAAAGCCCCGCGAACGTTTGAATTTCATTTCCTGTTTGCTCAGCGTGGAGAGCACAGGTGACCACGCAGAGCTCATCAGCACAGGTAACCGTGATGGAGTCCCAGGATCGCAAAAGAGCTCCAGCATGGACAGAACGGGAGGTTCGGGATCTGCTCGCCATATGGGGAGATGAATCAGTGCTGGCCGAACTCCGAAGCAGTAAACGAAATGGCAAAATATTAGAAAAGGTCTCCAAGGCCATGAAGGACAGAGGCCATAACAGGGACACACAGCAGTGCCGCGTGAAAATTAAGGAGCTAAGGCAAGCCTACCACAAAGCCAGAGAGGCAAACGGAAGGTACGGGGCTGAGCCGCAAACATGCCGCTTCTACGCGGAGCTGCATGCCATTCTAGGGGGTGCAGCCACCACTACCCCAACTGTGTGCTATGAGTCCCTCACTGGAGAAAGACACAGGGAAGCGGGTTCTGGGGACGAGGAAGATGAGCATGAAGATAATGTAAATAGCTCACAGCAGCAAGGAAGCGGAGAAACCAGTTTCCCCAACAGCCAGGATATGTTTATCACCCTGGACCTGGAACCAGTAACCCCCGAACTCACCCAAGACCCTGAGGGCACACAGGGGACCTCTGGTGAGTGTACCTTTGTAAATATTACACATGGTTTAAAAGCAAGCATGTTTAATGATTAATGATTAATTTGCCCTGGCAATCGCGGCCAGTACAGCTACTGGAAAAGTCTGTTAACGTGTATGGGGATGGAGCTGAAATCCTCCAGGGACATCTCCAGAAAGCTCTCCTTCATGTACTCCCAAAGCCTTTGCAAAAGGTTTCTGGGGAGGGCTGCCTTATCCCGTCCGCCATGGTAGGACACTTTACCACGCCAGGCCAGTAGCACGTAGTCTGGAATCATTGCATAACAAAGCATGGCAGCGTATGGTCCCGGTGTTTGCTGGCATGCAGACAACATCCATTCCTTATCGCTCTTTGTTATCCTCAGGAGAGTGATATCATTCACGGTCACCTGGTTGAAATGGGGCAATTTTATTAAGGGGACATTCAGAGGTGCCCCTTCGTGCTCTGCTGAACAGAAATATTCCCTGCTGTTAGCCACGCGGTGGGGGGAGGGGTGAAGTGATCATCCCAGAGAATTGGGTGGGGGGGAGGGGAATTAGTTGGGTTTGTGCTGCATTTTAACCCTGAAACCGCAGCCCCTCCTTTTACATTGCAAACCCATTTTAAATGGCCAACCCAACGGGTCCTTGGTATGGTTAATGATAGCAGTACTCTTTGAAACCATCCCCACATGTTAAGAAGGTTAAAAAAGCCAAAAGACTGTGTCTTACCATGGCTGCCTGCAAGCTGAAATCTGTGACCTGGCACTGCGTGAGTGATCTCTCACACCAAACAGGCAGGCCCTCCATATAAGAGGAAAAATGCGACCTTGTAATGAAAGCACATCTGCTGTGTAATGTGAACAGCAAAATGTAACATGAAAGAGTGTACCCATTGTTCTCTAAAATGTATCTTTTTTAACCACCTCTCCCTTCTCATCCACCAGCTGCAAATGTCTCTCCTTCGCAGAGGCTAGTGAATATTCGAAAACGTAAGCGAAGGACACGTGACGAAATGTTTACAGAACTACAGACTGCCTCCCACACTGACAGAGCACAGCAGAATGTGTGGAGGCAGTCAATGACTGATTATCGAAAAGCCCAATATGAGCGAGAGGAGAGGTGGCGGGCTGAATCGCGGGCTGAGGAGGAGAGGTGGCGGGCTGAATCGCGAGAGGAAAAGAGGAAGTTGCGGGCTGAAGATGAGAGGTGGCGTCAGCTTGCACACAGAAAGCAAGAGTCCATGCTCCGTCTGCTGGAGCATCAAACTGATATGCTACAGCATATGGTTGAGCTGCAGGAAAGGCAGCAGGAGCACAGACCGCCGCTACAGCCCCTGTGTAACCAACAGCCCTCCTCCTCAATGCTACAGCGTATGGTTGAGCTGCAGGAAAGGCAGCAGGAGCACAGACCGCCGCTACAGCCCCTGTGTAACCAACAACCCTCCTCCCCAATGCTACAGCGTATGGTTGAGCTGCAGGAAAGCCAGCAGGAGCAGAGACCGCCGCTACAGCCCCTGTGTAACCAACAGCCATCCTCCCCAAGTCCCATTGCCTCCTCACCCAGACGCCCAAGAACACGGTGGGGGGGCCTTCGGCCACCCACTCACTCCACCCTAGATGATTTCCATAGCAATAAGTTTTAAAGTTTTAAATTGGAGTGTGTCCTTTTCCTTCCCTCCTCCCCCACCCATCCCGGGCTACCTTTCCAATTATCCCCCTAGTTGTGTGATGAATTAATAAAGAATGCATGAATGTGAAGTAACAATGACTTTATTGCCTCTGCAACTGGTGCTTGAAGGGGGGAGGGTAGGGGAGGGTGGGGTGGTTGGTTTACAGGGAAGTAGAGTTAACCGGGTGGGGGGGGGAGGGGCGGAGGGTTCATCAAGGAGAAACAAACAGAAGTTTCACTCCGTAGCCTGGCCAGTCACAAAACTGGTTTTCAAAGCTTCTCTGATGCGCACAGCGCCATGCTTTGCTGCTCTAACCGCCCTGGTGTCTGGCTGCGCGTAATCAGCAGCCAGGCGATTTGCCTCTACCTCCCACCCCACCATAAATGTCTCCCCCTTACTCTCACAGATATTGTGGAGTGCACAGCAAGCAGCAATAACAATGGGGATATTCTTTTCGCTAAGGTCTGAGCGAGTCAGTAAGCTGCGCCAGCGCGCTTTTAAACGCCCAAATGCACATTCCACCACCATTCGGCACTTGCTCAGCCTGTAGTTGAACAGGTCCTGACTACTGTCCAGGCTGCCTGTGTACGGCTTCATGAGCCATGGCATTAAGGGGTAGGCTGGGTCCCCAAGGATCACGATAGGCATTTCAACATCCCCAACGGTTATTTTCTGGTCCGGGAAGAAAGTCCCTTCCTCCAGCTTTCTAAACAGAGCAGACTGCCTGAAGACGCGAGCATCATGTACCCTTCCCGGCCAGCCCACGTTGATGTCGGTGAAACGTCCCTTGTGATCCACCAGGGCTTGCAGCAGCATTGAAAAGTACCCCTTGCGGTTTATGTACTCGGTGGCTTGGTGCTCCGGTGCCAAGATAGGGATATGGGTTCCGACTATCGCCCCACCACAGTTTGGGAATCCTATTGCAGCAAAGCCATCCACTATGGCTTGCACGTTTCCCAGAGTCACTACCCTTGATATCACCAGGTCTTTCATTGCCCTGGCAACTTGGATCACAGCAGCCCCCACAGTAGATTTGCTCACTCCAAATTGATTCCCGACTGACCGTTAGCTGTCTGGCGTTGCAAGCTTCCACAGAGCTATCGCCACTCGCTTCTCCACTGTGAGGGCTGCTCTCATCCTGGTATTCTGGTGCTTCAGGGCAGGGGAAAGCGAGTCACAAAGTTCCATGAAAGTGCCCTTACACATGCGAAAGTTTCGCAGCCACTGGGAATCGTCCCACACCTGCAGCACGATGCGGTCCCACCAGTCTGTGCTTGTTTCCCGGGCCCAGAATCAGCGTTCCACAGCATGAACCTGCCCCATTAACACCATGATTTCCACATTGCTGGGGCCTGTGCCTTGTGAGAGGTCTAGGTCCATGTCCATTTCCTCATCACTCTCGTCGCCGCGCTGCAATCGCCTCCTCCTCCTCCTCGCCTTTTCCTGGTTTTGCTTTGGCATGTCCTGGCTCTGCATATACTCCAGGACAATGCGCGTGGTGTTCATAGTGCTCATAATTGCCGCAGTGATCTGAGCTGGCTCCATGATCCCAGTGCTAGCTATGGCGTCTGTTCTGAAAAAAGGCGCGAAAGTAGTATCTGACGGACCAGGGGAAGGAGGGAGGGAGGGAGGGAGGGGCGAGTGACGACATGGCGTACAGGTACAGGGAATTAAAATCGAGAAAGGTGGCTTTGCATCAGGGAGAAACACAAA